GGAGAAACCTTATAAATGTAATGAATGTGGAAAAACTTTCAGGCAGAAGTCACATCTTACAGCTCATCAGAGAACTCACACAGCCGAGAAACCTTATAAATGTAATGAATGTGGTAAAACTTACACCACTAAGTCAAGTCTTGGAACACATGAGAGAATTCACACAGGGGAGAAACCCTGTCAGTGTCCTGAATGTGGAAAAGCTTTCACCACCATGACACTCCTCAGACAACATCAGAGAATACACACAGGGGAAAAACCCTATCAATGTAACGAATGTGGAAAAACTTTCAGGGAGAAGTCACACCTTACAGCTCATCACAGAATTCACACAGGGGAGAAACCCTGTCAGTGTCCTGAATGTGGAAAAGCTTTCATGACCATGACTCTCCTCATACAACATCAGAGAACTCACACAGGGGAGAAGCCTTTTGAATGTCCTGAATGTGGTAAAACTTACACTGGTAGGTCAGGCCTTGGAAAACATCAGCGAACTCACACAGGACAGAAACCCTATCAATGTAATGAATGTGGCAAAAGGTACACACAGAAGTCAGACCTTGGAACACATCAGAGAATTCACACAGGTGAGAAACCTTATGAATGTAATGAATGTGGAAAAACTTTGCGCCAAAAGATACATCTTAGAAGACATCAGAGGACTCACCACAGGAGAGAAACCCTATGAATCTGGAAGAGTTTCATTTCATGTCATACCTCAAAGGACATCAGAGCTTTCATGCAGGGGAAAAACTGAAGGTATGAAATGTGGGAAATTTTTTCTTTGGAAATCAGCCCTCATAATACGCCAGAGACTGCATACAGGGAAAAAATGCTACAAATGTGACTGATGCAGAAAAGGTTTTGTTTCCAACTTTACTCTCAAAATTGAATTGATGAGACAATTCACACGGGAGTGTAGTGATTTATACAGTTTTTCTTTTTTCTTTTTTGTTCGCACTATCTCTCTCTCCACCCACAAGCCCAAGACACCTCCAGAACCCGTCTCCTCCCACACTGGCCTGGGAGCCATGGGCACTCCACCAATTGTGGGCACCCCTGCAGTCACAGGTACTCCTGCAATCTGTCTCCTTTCTTGCAAGTGTGAGAAACCCCCAGATCCAGTCTCCACTCCCAGAGGACCAGGCACCCTAGGAGCCGTGGACACCTCAGCAGCCACAGGAACCCTGGCACTCTTGTCTCCTTCCCCAAGATCTTGCAACACCCCCAGAGCCAGTGCCCTCCCCCACAAGCCCAGGTACCTCAGGAGCCACAGAAACCCTGTCAGTCATGGGAACCCCAGTGGCCTGTCTCCTTCCCCATGATCCTGGAAAATCTGCAGAGCCAGCATCCTCTCTCACAGGTCACAGCTCTTTGGGAGACATGGGTACCTCTGAAGCCACAGGTATTCTGGCAGCATGAACTCCCCCACAGGTTCAAGACATCACTAGAGCTGCTTTCCGGACACGTAGGGCCAGACACCCACACAGCAGCAGGCACCCTCCCGGACCCAGGCACATCCATAGCTGTGGGTAGCCCTGCTGCAGGAGTGCACCTGTGCTTGGGCATGCCAGATGCCTCGGACAGCCCCATTGTCTCAGGCAAGCCCATAGCCTGTCTCCTGCACAAACATATATCCCCATAGCCATTCTCTTGATTCACAGACCCACATACCCCTAAAGCAGCAGGCACCAGAGCCTCTTCTTCCCCCATAGCCTGCCTCCTTTCCCACAGACTCAAGACATTTCCACAGCACGTCTCCTTCCCAACAACCCCTGGCACTGCATCAGCCAAAGGTACCCCCACCGCCTGCTGCCTGTCCCACAGGCCTGGGATGCCACCATACTGCCCATGTTCGCTCCTGGCTCCCAGTCCCAGCCCAGCCTGGGACACCCCCACAGGTTGTTATGTTCCCCACACCCGGGACATTCCCGCCTCCTGTCTCCTTCCCCAAAGCCCAAGGTACTCCCATATCCTGTCCTACACCCCACAGGCCTGGAGCACCCCCAGGACCTGCCTTGTGCTCATCAAGACTAGATACCTCTGCAGCTTCCCATCATCACCCTTGGTCACCTCCAGAGCCTGTCTACCCACACAGCCTGTCCCCTTTCACTGAATCCTGGGTCACCACCATGTCTAGTTTCCTCTTCAGTAGACAAGGCACCCCTACAGGCTGTCCAGTGCCCCACGGGCCAGGGATACCCCTAGGGCTTATGTCCTGAGCTTGTCTCCTCCGCCACATGCCTGGAACACCCACAGAGGTAGTTTCCTCCTGCACAGCTCTGGATACCTCCACAGCATCAGGCACTCCCGTGGCCTGTCCCCTGCCTGGTAAGCTTAGGGTATCCCCACAGACTGCCTCCTGTACCACAGCCCCAAGCACCTGCACTGGCAGCCCTCTCCCACAGACCTGAAGCACCCCCACAGCCTCTCCCTCCCTCCACAGCTCTGGGCACCTCCATAGCCTCAGGCCACACCATTGCCCCAGAAACTCCCATAGTTGGTCCTTTTGTCCAAGGGCCCGGGGCAGCACCATAACCTATCTCCTCCACAGCCTCAGGCACCCCCACAGCTTGTCCTCACTCCAGCAGATTTAGAGCAAACCTAGACCTTGCCTCCGTAGTCCCAGGCACACCTACAGGAGGCACCCTCACAGCCTGTCTCTACCCACACAAGCCTGGCCCTAGGTCAGTAGCTGTAGATGTTCCCGAGGCTTGGGGGACTGTTCTAGCTTGTCTTTTGACCCACGGCCCTGTGAGACCAACACAACTGGTTATCCATGACGCCCAGCCAGGTACAACCCTTTCAACTGGCCCTTCTGCAGGCACAGGAAGGAGTTTGACTCGGCTTCCCTCCCTGCATCCTGAAGCTGCCCTCATAGCCTGCACCTTCAGCCACAGCTCCGAAATACTCGTGCCCCACAAAGCCCAGGCGGCCTTTTTTCACAGCCCCGAGGACTCCTATGAAACGTCTCTTCCTCCTCCCCAGTGCCAGTGACAGACTCGGCAGGCCCCACTACCTGGGGTTCCCCCACAGCCCCAGGAGCCCTTGCAGCCTCAATTGAGCCTGCAGTGCCAGGTGTCTCCGAAGCCTCGCTTCGTCCCCGCCGCCAGTCATCTGCGTGGCTGCCGACAGTCCTGCAGCCTTTCTGCACAGCGCGTCCCCCACACGGAGAACCTCATCCGGCGCCTAGCTCCACAGCCTCGGGACGTCCCTGCACCCCACCTCGTCCCCCATGGCCCCCGAACTTCGCGCCCCCACCTGCTGGGCCCCACAGAGCTGCCCGGCATCTCACTCGCTCGCCCTTGCGCAACAGAGGCAAGGCCCGGTGGCCAGCTGCCCTGCTCATAGCTCGAGGGCAATTCCAGTCTTCTTCAATGTAGCCCCAGGCACTTTGTTCCCAAGGCTGTTCCACACACGCACTCACACACTCAGCTCCAAACTCGTGATTTTATTCCCTCCTAGTCCCCACCTCCGTCCAGTCCTGCACGCCAGTCCGCCAGTCCCGGGCTCCCCAAAGCCTAGGCAGGAGAATAGGTAATTGGGACCGACGAGCGGCAGGATCTGCCCTGGGTCAAGGTCTCTCCCCCAGGTCCATGATGCCTAACGCAGCTTCCCAGAATTCCCCCAGCTCCGGCCCAACCTCACCTGGCCTCGATTTACAATATACACTTTCAGCAACGACTCACACATGAAAACATCAGAAAACTCACAAAGGTGAAAATCCTATGAAGCTGGTAATGGGGGAAAATTTTTAGAGAGGTGACATGTAAAAAGTCGGAGGAAAAATAACTTTTTCTTGTACTTGGTTAGGTTCCGTGGTTGGAGCCCTGTAAATTGAAAGACATTAACAGGAGAAGATGGTTTATTTCGTTTGCATATGGAGAGCCTCACATAAATGAAATGAAAACTCCGAAGAGGTGACCACACCTGGATGCTTATATATGCCATTTAAACAAAAGGAAAATACATGTGCAACGAAGTGACAAGAGAAAGAAAAAATGCTTTAGAGCTCCTACAGTTGGTAAGTTGTGGGAAGGTCAATTATTCGGGGAAACCGATGGTAGAAGAGTTACTTCATTAAGATTTGTTTATGCAGATATTAGTGGGTGCCATTTCCTATGATACAATTTGTCTCCTATTCCTTATACTGGAGAGGGGATGGAGAACACCTTTATGAAGGGGGACTTCTGCCCTGACTTTTGTCACATGGAGGTGGAGTCAAAAGGTTTTTCTGTCTACTGTTTTTCAGTTGTTTTTGCTCATAATAATCCTTTTGCCAAAGGGGCATAATTTGGCATAGCATATTTAGCATATTTTGATCTTGATCACACCAGGGAGAAACCTGTAAATGTAGAAGTAGGGAAGATTTCCACCAGAAGTCAAACCTCAAAGAACATCAGAAAACTCACAGGGAATTTGACATGATTGTAATGAATATGGAAAATCTTTCATGAAAACAACAAATCTTGCATTACCTAAGAGAGCTCACACACATGAAAAGCCCTATAAATGTTATGGAACTTGGAATGCTTTTAGCCAGAAATCACACTTTGAGAACATCAGAGAACTCAAAGGGGAGAGGCCCTAAAGATGATGAATGTAGGGAAAGTTCCAAGTCAGGGTCAAGAAAAGATTGCAGAACTCAGAGAGGGGCCAACGTTTATTAAGCTGATGAACATGGAAGTTTCTCAGGAAGCTTCTCACTAAACATAAGAGAACTGTCTTTTCCGTTTGGGCTATTAATACAAAAATGCCATAGACCGGTTGGCTTAAATAACAAACATTGGTTTCCCACAGTTCTGGAAAGTGGCAGTCCCAAATCAAGACGTTGGTATATTTAGTGTCTGGTGAGGATCCACTTCATGCTTTGTAGACGGTCGTCTTTTTGTGGTGTGCTCCCATGGTGGAAGGGGCAATGGATCTCTTCAGGGCTCTTTAATAAGGGCTCCACTCTAATATTTAGAGTATTACACCCTCTTAAATAAAGATTTAAAAATTCTGGTTGGAATAGCATTTCATTTCATCTCAGCCAGGTATCCACAAGGTAGAGCTGACTTAACCCAACTGGCTGAGATTCTTTCCTGGGAAACCCAGAGGCGGAGTCCTAGTGACATGACCCAGGCCTTTCCAGCTTTGCCTCTTTGCTGGCACATGTCCAGAGGACACTCCCCAACACCACTTCCTTCACGAGAGACAGTCATCTGAGCCTTAAACATGAATGGTCCTCTCTCCTCCCTGCCTTATGGATCTGTATAGGACATAATGAGGCTCTGAGCCTTATAATCTTTATTACGGCCTTGATACCTTCGAAGAGGGCCTCTTTATTTATAGGGTATTGATTAATTCTGGGAAGAGATTTTGAGGAACCTGTGTGAGTTTCGACTTGGGTTAGTCTGTGGATACTGTCGAGAGGAGTTGGAGATTTTGCCCAGAAGTGGGTGCCCGGGAGGCAGCTAGAGAGACCCCTGGTTGGTCACAGTCTCTGAGGGGAAGCCACATGGCCACCTAGCAGAGCATTCTAACGTAGTGACACTGGTGTCTGTTTCCCAACACTGGGTTGATGAGAAATGGGAAACTGGGATGTGGGCACCATTGCTTCTCAGGACAAAATAAGCAAAACAGAAGGAGCTCTTTAACCATAAAGCATGAGGACAGGCAAGAACTAAGTCTTGTACCCTGACTGGAGGTGTTGGGAATTCCCTGTGAATTCCATTTGTGAGTCTGTGAAAGCCTCTAGGAGACTGAGCAATTTTAATGATTGAAAATGAGTTAAAGCTGTTAAAGAGTTAAAAACAGTGTGAAATTCCACCCTGTCTCTTGGCTCAGCAATTTGGAAGCTTGTTGCTTACACACACACACACACACACACACACACACACACACACACACACACGTGTTTCTATATATTATGTAAATAAAGGGAAGAGAGGAGCTGTGAGAAAATTGCGAAGTTGATTTCAACATTTCTTCTCTCCCCTCCACTTGTACCTCTCCCAACAAAAACAGTCACATGCAGGGCCTTAGAGTTTTTATTGATGAATTATTGGGATACTTTTTGAATTGTTTACAAAACCCATTTATAAACTATTAACCTAAAACAAAAAGACCAAAGTGAGAGTCAGTGAGCATTTTTTTGAGATCCAAACAACTAGCTATATTAGTGAATACTGATTTAGGTAGAACCACTATAGGGTTTTGATTATGCAGCAAAGCAAGGGGTATTGATGAGAAAGGGAAGGGGAACAATTCTGTGAATAGAAGGAAGGAATTTCTATGTGTGTGGGAAGCCAACATTGTGATGCTAATTCTATAGCATATTTTAAATTTTCAGTTCATACTGATGCTAATTCTAAAGAATATTTTACAATTTCAGCCAGTAATAATATCTGCTTTTCTTTTTTTTAGCTGAGCCATCACCTATTGGCAGCTCAGCTCGGGCCGGGCCTTGAACTACTAATATCTGCTTTTTTGTTAGGCAGAAATGCTATTTTAGCCTCAGCGCAAAGGTTCTTTTGCCCAGTTTTAACATTCCAAAAGTTTGGAGACTAAGATGGGCAAAGTGCTTCCTCTGGGATGGCAGCTCCGACTCCATTTTAAAGTGTCTCTGCAGGGTCAGAAAAGCCCACAGTAATCATGTGAATTGCAGTATAGTGCAAGGAGTGTTCTTGGTTGGCCCAGTTCCTTCTCTCTCTGTTTACTCCCTTTACCCTCATGTAAACATTCTCATCTCTCCAAGAAAGAATGGGTAATTCTTTCTTGAGAATTATCTAAGATAATGAGCCTTTTTATTAGGAACTTTTAACATTCATCTTATTTGCTTGTAATGTAAAATAAATGCATCAAATCTCTTTCAAATTTATCTTTAGAGAGCAGCATTTTCCTCTCTTTCTTAGTGTTTTAAGATTTAAGAAATTATGTCTTAAGGAAAGTACTTTCAACATTTTGTGTTTGTCCAAGTCGCAGTAGACTTTGAAAGAAGTCGATTTATTTTCATTAGAAATGGTTTGCTACTAAAGAGCATATAGTTAGGTCTTATGTTTTCTTATGTTCAGTTTATTTCAGTAAAGTGAACCTGAATATAAGTTGAGATAAACGATTTATTTTAAAAAAGAAACAAATCTAAATGTACTACCTTTTTAAAGAAATGAGCTTGTCAATTTTAAGTCCGTTAAGGGTATTTTGTATATGTATATGTAAGGGTCTTTGGTATCCTTGTGTTTGTAAATATCTTTGTTCTCAACTGCAGAGCATGGTGGCAGGAACATAATAAGTGTTTAGTAAATATTTGTAAAATGAAAAGCCATTCCCTACCCACATTGATTGATACATGCCACTTAAATCCCACTGAACTATTAAAGAAAAATATGTCATCAGCAAGAATCTTTGTCTAGTAAACTTTTGCAGTCTTTGTATCTCTGAAAAAGTTCTCAAATGATAGTTTAACTGGGTGCAGAATTCTAGGTTGACAGTTTTTTCTCTTTCTGCACCTTGAAGACATTATCTCATTATTGTCTCATGGTCGTGGTGATATTAATTAGAAGTCTGCCTTTAGTTTGATTGTCATTTCTTTGTGGATAGTCTGTCTTTTCTCTGGTATTTTTAAAAGATATTCTCTTTATCAGTGGTATAACAAGGTGCAAATTTATTTTCATTTTTTCCACTAGAGATTCTTCTTTTTCTGTTTGACTGTTCATGCCTTCTTCAATTCTCTGCCATTATCTCTTTGGCATTGTTTCTTCCATTTTCTCTGTTCTTTTCTCCTGGTATATTAGAAATTTTGGTATGTCTTCTGTCTCTTCATTTCTTTTTGCTTTTTCTTTCTTTATGCTTTTCTTCC